GGGGAGAGAATGGAGATTTTACAGTATCCTTCCCCTGGAATGGGGAGAGAATGGAGATTTTACAGTATCCTTCCCCTGCCATGCCCACCAAGCCATGCCAGGTCCACCAAGCCACGCCCACAGAACCGATAGTAAAACATTGTGAATCCCATCACTGAAATGACATTGTTTTCTTGGTTAACCTCTCATAGTTCCATGTCTCAGAAATTTTATATGATTTTGGCTTCATTATAATATGACGTTTATCATTAGAATGGATTTTTATAATATTTTAATTAACTTTATAACATTTAAAAATAACATCATTACTATGCTTTTATGAACACATTTTTCTTCTTCCGCTATGTTAAAAAAACCCAAATGATTTAAAGCTTCATTAAACTACTAGCTCTATTTATCTTCACTAGGAAATATATCCAAATTACAGCCAAAAGGAACCATTCTTCACATTTGTTAAACCTGGATTGTAAACTGGGGATCCAGATGGATTTGAAATGAGATTTTGCAATTAATTACAAGAATCCCTCCCATAGGAAAATGCTTTTGTTTTGAATTCTTAAAAGTAACATAACAAGATAAGATTTTACAAATTGGACATTGAAGAGAAGTAGAAGTAAACTAAAGGCCATAATTAAACAACACTTAAATTTGGACATATTGAAGGATATTTTTGAATAAAGGACCCAGAAGTTTATTTTAAAGGGCTTATCTCTCTAGATAGCCTGTGTTTAAAAGATGTTATAGAATAGGGATGAGTATTACCTGACAAGATTGAAATTGAATTTAAAAATGACTGGCTAGAAGAGTGACATACAAAACAAACTGAATAAAGTCTTAATAATTAATAAACATATGACAAACCAAGAGAGTGATAATTTTCTGGATAATTTCTGGATAAACCCTGGATAATTTTCATATTCAGACTTTGTATATGATTTACAACAGAGGCTTGTTAAAACTTTGAGAAATTTTGTGTGAAGAGACAACAGAAAAATTGAAAAAACTTCTAGGGCATTATTTGAAGGGAGTAAAAATCAAAAGTGTTAGAAGTAAAAAGGAGGAATATAAAGTTGGTTTATTTGAAATATATAATTTGTTACCTCTGGTAACCAGAGGTGGGTTCCTACCAGTTCGCACCTATTCGGTAGAACCGGTTCATCAAATCCACCGAACCGGTTAGAAGAGGTTCCACCAGTAGACCCGGA